CAGTATAGATTACTGAATGTTAGTAAGCATGGGGGTTACCTGTTTCCCAGTTGCTCCTATTACACGATGTTGGGCTTCTTTATAATAAATAATTATTTATTATTAATGTGACTTATTGTTAATAAATAAGTGACATTTATGAGCTTGATTGATGAGCATCTAGGTAAGTCAAATACCTAACTTATTGCTTATGCTCATTGCTAGTACTTGGTGTGAGCAGGGTTAAATCACTGCTCACGCCAGTGTGAATCAGGTATCAATTGATACCTGCTGTTCTCCTCTGATGGCTATATAACATAAGTGCTGCATATAGTACTTTAAATCCATTGGGCGGAGATTCTGGGCTGTCAGGTGCTCAAGGGAGACTCCCCATGGTCTTAACGGACCATGACAGGGTTGCCCAACATGGCCACATGCCGATTGTGACCTTAGGGTTAGAGTTGGGAATAGAGTTAAGATAGAGTTAGGGTTTGTGTAGGGTTAGGGTTAGTGTTAGTGTAAGGTAACGTTAGAACTGGGTATGGGTTAATGCTGTTTTAGGGTTAAGGATAGTGTAGGGTAAAGGTTAGGGGTAAGATTATGGCAGGTATATGGCTAAAGTTAATGTATGCATTGGGTAAGGGGTATAATTGGTATGGCATTGGGAGGGTGGTATGAGATCCTTGACATATGCAGCATTTAACAATCAGGACTGACACGTGAATGTAATTTGAGCCTTTTTGTATAGTTGCACTGGATGTGTGAAGTATTATGAGAAAAATGTGAAATTTTCCTCCCATTTTAAACATTTTATTCAAATGTAATCTTGTCTTAGTTACAGATATAGGATATTAAATCTCTTTCTGCCCTTGTATATGTATGGGGGAACTTAAAGATAAACCCTTAAATTACACTCGCATTTATGTTCACATTTAATTGAGCAGCAACTACTGCTCAATTTTTAGGGCGTAGGTGGTATATCCCTACCTAGGATTCTTTAGTTAGTTGTTCTCCAAAGTTGTATATAGGTGACCAGGTTAAAAATAAATAAATTAATAAATAAAGATAAAACGGTATGTGGCACAGAAGATAAAGATGGCCAATATTCCTTTAATGATACAATAATAATTAAAACCAAACCAAACACATTTCGCCAACACAGGGATTCATCAAGTGGTAATAAAAACCTCAAATATGTATTCCTAACGCTATAGAGCCCTAGTCACTGTTGGTAACTAGGGCCCCGTTCTGTGGCGAATACATGTTTAATTAACCATTTATTTGCTTACCTTAATCCAGTGCCGGGCTCCCTCAGCACTGGTGACCTCTTCTCCTCCGTCGACATCAGCTTCCGAGTTGAGCCAGAGGTATGCGTGCATTCAAACCTGCCCATAGGAAAGCATCTATCAAGTGAAGTGGTGGAGGTTAGTATCCCTTCTCTGAACCCTCTCTAAGGTATCAATATCCTTCTGTTAATAATAATAAATGCCTATGTGGCATGTATTTGAGTACCTCTTGCATTAAGCTGTGGATTTGTTTTTTTTATTTTTGATGCATTCCGAAAGGCTGATGAAGTGTTGAAGATGGTGAACACAGGCAGTGTGTTATGAATTTGCACACTTTGTTAAAGTCTGGCATTGACTTGTAAACACGCTTCCGCACATCTGTGGTTTACAGTTGACATGTTCTGTCCAGTGTATGTTGATATTTACATTTCATGCCCAGTAACTGGGAGACTATATTATAAATGGTTTACATATTTTTATTGAAATGCACTTATTTTAATTGATTTGTAGAATTTTAGCCCTAGGTATATTGGTGAAGAATGTATTCTACCTGTGCTTCCTTTCAGCATCAATTTGGAGAATTTGAAATCTCTGTCTGTGATATTTTGTCATGTGTTTCCTGGATGTATCTGCTCTTTGATACCCTTCATGCAGGTGGTATTCTTTTTCTTTGGCTTCTTGCGTACTATACATTATTCATCACTACATATTATGAATATTTTTATTTCTTGACATGTCTTTTGGCTCATAATGGATTAAAGGGATTCTCCAGTGCCAGGAAAACAAAGCTGTTTTCCTGGCACTGCAGAATCCTGGAGTGCCCCCCTCCCTCTTTCCCACCCCCTTCCCACATCACTAAAGGGGTTAAAATCCCTTCAGACACTTACCTGAACCCAGCGCTGGTATCCCTCGGCGCTGGGTTAGGCTCCGCACACACTCCTCCCCTGCCGACATCCACCGGCAGGGGAGACGTACTGTACATGTGCAGCAATGGTCGCGTGCATGCATTAGACATCCCCATAGGAAAGCATTACTCAATGCATTCCTATGGGAATTCTGGCGATGCTGGAGGTCCTCATGCATAACGTGAGGACGTCCAGCGTCGTTTAGACAACCAAAAGTCATCTAAGAACCCGGAAGTCCCTCTAGTGTCCTATGACTATTTTGATGATGCACTCAGCTGGGAACATAAATTTGGTCCTGGTGCGCTGATGGCCAAGGTGGATTTTGAGTCAGCCTTTAATTGTCAATGTATCCAGAAGATTTTAATTAGCTTGGTTTTTCATTCTTTGATTTTTATTTTAGTTTTATTTTCATAAATGCCCGCCAATGGGATGCTCCATATTCTGTTTTTATTTTGAAGTATTTTCTTAGACAGCCACTAGAGGAGGACTTGACCCTACAAGGTAATTATTGCAGTTTATAAAAACTGCAATAATTACACTTGCAGGGTTAAGGGTGATGGGAGTTGGCACACAGACCATTTTAATGGGCGGAAGTGGTCTGGGTTCCTAAAGTGTCCCTTTAAGGTCTACAATTTCCCTTGGGATATTTCTGGTGTTTCCCAGGAAGAAAAAAAGTACTGACTTTCATCTCTTCTTGTTGGATAATTTACCAAGACATTTCTTGTCCTTGGAGAGGTTGGTCTCCTGATGTGTATGTCAGCACACGACTGATGGGCAGTGAAGAAATTGACGCCTATACAGCCAAGTGGGCAGAAATATTCCTATTGCTGTCCTAGATATATTCGGGGAAAGAAATACTGTAAGTATGACAAAATATTCTATATTACTGCAGTTTAGTCTTTGGATGCCCAGTCTTCTGTACCTATGTATCCATGTTTTATGGCATAAAATCTGGAACCAGAAAGGAATACCACCAATCAGATTACGTAATTTATTTCTATAAAACCCCCAATTTATATGTACATGTATGGATGATTATACGCAATACTTTTTTTTCTTTAATACGTATAGGTTATTTCTGTACCCTGTCATAATAAATTTAAATCATATTGTTTTAGTTTCTTCCTCCCTGCATTGTTTACTCTGGGAGTTGCACTGGGATCCTCATCCTGTGCTTATCTTAATGACTTTTCAGGAATATTTCTAGAACATACAGATTACCATCCCCCTACAAGGGAACACTTGAGATAAAATAGGTCATCCTGTGATTAATCTCACAATAACATGGCACCTTCCTTGATTTTGCATTTCTGTTGGGTTATCAGATGACCTTTGGCTACATTTTAGTAAGTTAATGAAGCTCTAGAACTCAATCTGATGGTCAAGATACACACTGTGTCCTCCTTATGGACACCAATTATTAGTAGACAAAAACATAGTTTTCTTTGAATGCCATTAAATGCTTGGAAGCCATCAATAAATATGAAAATATGTCGTGGCAAACAAGTTATAAAAAAAAAAAAATCAACAATATTGAAGTTGTTTTTCGAAACTCATTGTGAAAAGAGTAGAGGTTCATACATACATATCTGGTGGATTTGTACTGAAATAAAGACGCAATGGAAAAAGATCTTTGTTCTTATATATAAAATGATAGAATACAGACTTAGGATTGTGCCGGAGGTAGCTTTATAACATTTGAGATGGCCTCTTTTTTTTAGGCCATCTCAAATCTCGGTGCCTCCTGGCCGCAGCCGCCCCGGACACATGTTATGATGTCTGATATATATTTAATTTATAGACACAATCTAATTCAAATTAACTGAATTGTATGTTATTTGTACATGTCAAATAAAGAAAACCATTTAATCAAAAGAATAAAAAAAGAGAAATCCATTGCTCACTGCTGCTTTACTGTCTTTTACAATATTTCTTGCACATCTGGTGTTTGGTGGGGCCGCAACAGAGGTATGAGGAAATAGTCTAACTTTTTTTGGTGGTGTGTGTCTTGGAGTAGAAGGTGCAGTCCCGCTCTGTGGGGTGTAGTGCTCTCCAGCAGTTGGCAAGCTGGTGGTGGTGTAGAAGATGGAGTGTCTTGGGTACCTGTTGTCTGGGTGTGCCCCTGGTTGGGTGGTGGAGTCCTGGTCAGGGTGCAGCGCCAGGTTCAGGTCCCCCCCTAGTACCAAGACACCCTCCATAAATTTTATTAGGGTGTTGAGCGTGTAATGAAGAAAGTGCTATTTTTTCGAGTTTGGAGTATAGATATTAGCAAATGTGTATTTCTGGTCCTGTATAGTTCCCTTCGTGAACAGATATCTATCTTACTTGCAGCGGAGTGTGGAGAGTTCTGTGTATGGGATGTGTCTCGAGAATAAGATGCCCACTCCATGTGTGCGCCTGTGCGGATTGTTGCTAAAATATCCCAATTGATAGCTGCGCTTTCATAGCCGGGGTTTGGCCCTCCTGGAAGAGCCTCTTCTGGAGGAAGGAGATGGAAGTGTTATATAGTTCTATCTCTGGGTTCTGCTATGTCCTTTCCCTGTTGGGGGGTTTAGTCGTCTAACACTAGTCTTCCAGTGGATTTGCCTCTGTTTCTCATTATACGTTGCATGCCCAGTGTGTTTTGCAGGCCAGTGCCTACGGGTGTGGAAACTATGTGTTGGTGCTACCTCTATGTGACTTGTGTGGGTGTGTGTTCACTGCACCTCTCCGTAGCGATGTGGGTAGGCACGTATTGCAGTGTGTGTAGGGTCCAGTGTGAAGGGGTGCTCTGGCATTGGGGTTACCCCTTCGGCTGGGCTCATGGTTCGATGCAGTGGGGATTGGCATACTATGTCTCTTGATTGCTCGCCAGGTCTCTTGGTTGCTCGCCAGGCAATAGAGGTGGTCTCAGTGCTCGGTGGGCTCTCACTAGGCCCAGACGGGGTAATTGTTGGCCGCCCAGCACCTGGCTGAAAATGGTGTGGAGTAGTTCAGCAGTATTTTCTGTTGGGCCTCCCTTTCTCACTCCCCTGATGCGGAGATTCAGCCTGCGGCTGCAGCTGTCTAGGTCGTCCACCCAGGTAGTTAAATGGGCTATGTATCCCGCATACTCTGTTACCACTGCCATGGTGGATTAGAGGTTGGTGCAGAGGGATTTGGACTCTGCTTCTGTCACAGCTACTCTGGCATCGATGTTGGCCAGGTCTGCGTGCAGCTGGTTGACCTCTCCTTACACCGCGCGGCCCAGGCGGTCTGACGGAGCCTCAAAGTCTGCTTTGGTGAGCAGGCTGGGGATTATGGCACGCGGCTCCCCCTCTAGTGTTCCTGGAATTTCCGATGTGAGGGAGGGTGTTGGGGAGAACCTCGCTGGTGTGCATGGGAGGGAGTCGGGTGTAGGACTCACGGCCTCCGTCTGCCTTTGCATTACCAGGTCGTGGGGTGCTGGCTGTTCTTGTGGGGACCATGAGGAAGTTGCAGATGCAGGACTCCCCGCCGAACTCCGATGGTTTTGGGGTTCCGGCATGCGTCTTTCTCTTTGTCCGTCCCATTTGTGGCGAAGTTTGGAGAGGTGCGTGGTATTTTAGCGTTATAGTCATGGGTGCCACAAGGAGCAGTAGGATTATGCTGCCATCTGCTTCAACAGCTAGACATGCCCCCTCAATACTCTCTCTTGGAAGTGAGAGTTGGGAATTAAACAAAGGAGGTAGTGCACGAAGACCCATACAGTCAAAGTACCAAATCGGCAACTACATGTACATGCTTGGAAATTCCTCCTACATTTGTGGATTCTTAAAGTTTATATTTTTAATAAATATTGTTTTTATTTTTCATTTTTTTCCCTTTAAGTGTTTTCTAAGTTTCTAAGTTTTTGTTTTTTTCAACCATCTCTTGGTAACTGCAAGCAAGATCTTGCACTTTGCATACTGTTTCTGTTTATTTTATTATATTTTGCTTTGTTAAGTTTATATCTATTTTTATACTTTGTGTTTTGTAATCTTGTCATTTTCAATATTTTGGCATTTAATATTTATTTAACACAATCCTACTTTGAAACATCAACTTCATTTTACAGCACCTCAATGGACTGGATTGAGAAGGGAAAAATACTTTGATGCAAGAAGTTTGATACTTGTTGGAAATTCTTTTCATATAGTATCATACAAAAAAAAACTTTTACCAACTCCCTAACTGATGCATTATTGCTATTGAAGTTTCTCTGTAATAGTGTCATGAATGTGTGTGCATAATAAAGAAGGGAAAGAAGAGTTGGTTAATCCAGCATAATTTTAATAATTGTCTTTAAGCATTTTGTATCTTTTCAGCCGTACTAGGGAAAAAAATATGACGTAGTGGATTTTTTCAGCATTGAGGGGCTATTCATGAGTTTTGGAGGTTTAGCGTTATATGATGAACTTTTCAGACAAAAACTTGCTGTCCATCCTTTCCTGAAATAGGGAATAAAAGATGGTCTTTGGTTGAATCTGATCTTTATCTTCAGGTGTATCCAACAGGGAGAGAGCTACTATTATTTCATTGTTTTGCTAAAAGTTTGAAAATCGGAAAGTTTCACGTTCTGGTTGTTTATTTGTTAACAATGTAAAATCTGTATTGCAGGATGTTACAGCTGTCATCAAGTAGTTGCAAAGGAAGTAAACTTTAGGTAGAATAATTGGTCTTTCTGAGCTTCCACTTTTGCTAATTTCCATTAGTCTCCTTTCGAGTTATTTCCTAAAAAAAAGGGCTTGGGTCATTCAGGCTAATTCACCATTTATCTTAACCAGCTGGTGCTTCATTACATGATGAATTTGATAAGGATACTTGTTCAGTGTCCTATGACTATTTTGATGATGCACTCAGCTGGGAACATAAATTTGGTCCTGGTGCGCTGATGGCCAAGGTGGATTTTGAGTCAGCCTTTAATTGTCAATGCATCCGGAAGATTTTAATTAGCTTGGTTTTTCATTCTTTGATTTTTATTTTCTTTTAGTTTTATTTTCATAAATGCCTGCCAATGCGATGCTCTATATCCTGTTTTTATTTTGAAGTATTTTCTTCCTTCATTGAATGTGTTTTTAATATTCAGATCAGTTTATATTCTGTTGTTACTTTTTGTTTTTTGGTTTGGATCCAAGTTCAGAATGTGTTACGTTGTTAGTTTTTCTGTAGTCTGGTATTTCTTTAGCAGTTGAGAAGACAGTGGGTCCAGTGACATGTATTTAATTTTTAGGAATAATGATTGACTCTGTTGTTTTTTTTTTTATTATTAATATTTTCTTGTTTCATAAAACAAGGGGGAGGGATACAGAAAGAAAAAGGGGAAGGGTTGGGAAGGGTATGCATGCTGTTCGAGTCTTACAGTTGTGCAGATGCGGGTATGGACCTTACTCAAATCATGTAAGAGAGATACATACATAGAAGCATGGATTATACAACCAGCTCTGGTTTGTATAGCATACAGCGCTATGATCCCTGCTTATGGGATATGTGGTGAGTGTCATCTTGTATATAGCAATATCAAGAAATGGGGTGATAAAAAAATTGAAACAATAATGGAGCAGTATGTTCCACAGTGGAAAAAAAATCATAAAATATAGTAGCGACACTTACATTTAGTGGCGCTTAAGCCAGCTCCGGTGTGATAGGCGTACAGCGGTACAATCCCCGCCTATGGGATATATGATGAGTTTTCTTAAAGATGGTAGTGTCAGGAGCTCTGAAGGAAGACAATAAAAACAGCAATAGTAAAATATTAATAATCTATAAAATATAATAAAATATACTCACAAAGGTTAGAGCAGGCTGACTGCTCTATGACAACAGCATAGGTGGTATGATCCCCACCTGGGATTCTTTGGAGTATGGAAAGAAAGTAGTTGGTGCCAGGTCATTGTTAAAACATAAATTATAAATAAAAAGATTATGGTAAAAAGATTAAGTGAAGTAGAAAGACCAAAATCTATTTATTAATAATTAAAAAAGCAGTATAATTCATCCAAAAGCATTTAACCATATAGGCTTTATCAATGGAGTAAAAACATTCAACCTGGCTTGTTAGGGTATTTATAGGTATAAAATAAATTCATCAGTGCGTCATAGTTACCTGGCCGCTATGCTTTATGGGGGCTGTAGTGCTAAGGAAGCTACACGTCAGCATTAAACATTTGCCAACGTGAAAAACAGCCACATAATTAGCACAGGGAGGATAAGTGGCCACGACTAGGCCGATAAAATTTTAAAGAAAACAGTAAATAAAATTTTTACTTATAAGTTAAAAAATAAATAATGAATAATAGATGGCCGCGGTGGCCATCTTAGGGGGAAATTGGCTGGGAAAGCCATATTAAGCATGCGTGGTGGCTATATTTGGTGTGGAAGGCCGATTAAATAGCTAATAAATGACAACCAGCAAAGTGGAAAAAAGTGTATAAAATGGCCAATTGTGCTATTTGGGGAACAGTGAGGTGATAATGGTTTTAAAAGGAAAATACATATAGTATAGGAAGGCATTAATAGATGAGGTGGAGCAGATAAAAGATAAAACAAAAAGACATAACTAGATGAAACTGAGCAGATCCAAGATCTGACTGATACACAGTATATCCCTCCAATCAAAATCAGATCATATAGTACTAGTTGGAAATAAAATAAAACAAAGTAATGCAGAGACCTTAATAGCTATGAATACATAAAAACAGGAGAACAAAAACATTGCACAGTAATACAGGTTATAATAGTATTGGAAAAAGTGCCAAAAGTAAGAAAATATTTTTTTGTTTTATTTCCAACTATTACTATATGAACTGATTTTGATTGGAGGGATGTATTGTGTATCAATCATATCTTGGATCTGCTCAATTTATAATTATCTTTTTATTTATTATTTCTTTTTTAACAACGACTTGGCACCAACTACTTTCTTTCCATACTCCAAAGAATCCCAGGTGGGGATCATACCACCTATGCTCTTGTCATAGAGCAGACAGCCTGCTCTATCATTTGTGAGTATATTTTATTATATTTTATAGATTATTAATATTTTATTGATAGCACTATTGCTGTTTTTGTTGTCTTCCTTCCGAGCTCCTGACACTACCATCTTTAAGAACACTCATCAAATATCCCATAGGCGGGGATTGTACCGCTGTATGCCTATCACACCAGAGCTGGCATAAGCGCTACTAAATGTAAGTGTCGCTACTATATTTCATGATTTTTTTTCCACTGTGGAACATACTACGCCATTATTGTTTCCATTTTTTATCACCCCTTTTCTGGTTCCTTGATACTACTATATACAAGAGGACACTCACCACATATCCCATAAGCAGGGATCATACCACATATCCCATAAGTGGGTATACTATATAAACCAGAGCTGGCTGAAGCACTACTAAATGTGAGTAGGAATATTTATATTGGCACTTCGAAGAACGTACTGCACCACTATCTCTTCTATCTCACCTTCTCTTATATATATGAATATTTGAAAAAGCGCAAGAATCACAACTCCCTGGCTTCGGAGACCTCCACTGGACTTCAGTTCCATACTTCTGGACTTTATCCTTACAGGGACTTATCCGAGTTGGGACTTTTTTACTCACCTATATTGTGGCGCAGCCCCATCTTTTGTTGTTTGTTATCTCTCTAATTATCTTCAAGGGCATCTGAGAGAGTGCTTGTTTGGGATTGCTGCCTTTTTCTCTTTATTTATTTATTAGCACTGATTATTAATGGGCCCGTCTGCTTGGAAATTGCAGATACTTTTTCAGGAAGTTGTAACATTAGAAGGTGTATACAGTAACATTTAGGTCATGTGCACCAATGTGTGTCAATATCAGAGCCACTATTTCCCACAATGGGGTTATGTTTGGACACAACCACCAGATGTGTGTCATGGTGCCTTCACTTTCTCCACTTCGCCAGCATAGGCAGGAGGTGTGGGGGAACATGTTATGTAATCTTTGCCGCATTAGGTACCAACGGTAGATCAATGTTCTGTGTGCCTCTATATGGGAATAGCACCTAGTGACCCCATTCAATGTGTTGAGAGCTAAGGTCCAGTCCCTGGGCATCAACTCGCAGCCGAGCTCCAGTGACCATTGTTTAGAGAATGGGAATTCTGTATCAGGTATCATTTCCATCAAGGGATACTACTTGATTACAGTCTGAGAGGGCTTTGGGTTTCTTGGGTGTTGACCAGAACCTGTTAAAAATAATACCTGTTGTGTCGGTCAACACCTGGCTTGTGGACATGTGACATAATAATGCTCTTTAGTTGAAGGTATTGGAAAATATATGAGTTTGGTACATTATATTTGCTTTGAAGATCTGGGAAGATGGTGATGCAATCAAATGTTGCCTATGTATTTTATACCTTTGTGAAGCTATGTGCGAAATGTAAACCATGGGGATATCTCTGAAAGAGCTGTAATTGAGGCTTTTAAGCTAAATTTGTTGCTATTGCTCAACCATGATTGGAAATGATCCAATTGGTGTATAGAGAGCAGTGTGGTCGCTAATAGGTGTACATTCTTATGCCTAAGATGTTTAGATGTCCACAAGATATCTGTTAGTGAGGTGCCCGAAACGGGGAGTTTTCCATATCGACCCCTTGCAGCACATTTTTCAGAGCATGCATCCTAATTGCCGATTCTAAGAAAGAGGCCTTATGGTACATAGTTACATTGGGGAGACCCACTCCGCCTTTGGAGGAATGTTTTTGCATAAGGGCGAGCGACACCCGGGGTCTATGGGAGTCCCAGACGAATTGGTTGATAACCGATTGGATATGTTTGCTGGGGGAGGGGTAGATGCATGAGTAGCATTCCGAATGTATAAACCAATTTTGGTAATATAACCATTTTGGTAGTGTTGACCCTACCTAGCCAGGAGAGCTTGATTTTTTTCCATTTTTCATTTGCGGTGGCGCACATTTGAGGTAGGGTTTTGTAGTTCAGTTTAAAGGTTTCTTGCAGGGGAGGAGCCAGTTTTACCCGTAAGTAAGTAATACTGGATTTCCTTCAGTCAAATGAATACTTTTGTGTTAGTCGCTGCACCAGTTGTGTCGTTATACCGACTGGTGAAGTTTGCATTTTTGATTGATTGAGATTATAATAGGAAACTGTGCCATACTCATTTAAAAGTTGAAGGAGGGCTGGGATGGAGGCAACTGGGTTAGCAGTATGTCATCAGCAAACATTGACAGGCTAAAGCAGGGCTGCCCAACAGATAGATCCCCAGATGTTGTAGAACTACAACTCCCATGATACTTTGTCATTCTAAAGGCATACAAAGCAATCCCTTCTGTGAGTTGGGTGATTTCAGGGGACACCATATCTTGGGATGTACAAGGGACTTTGACCTGTGCGTAGTTGTGCATGCTATCGTGAGGATGGTCAGGCCTATAGGTTGACATAGCAGGGGGGGTAAGAAGAGGGTAAGAAAGCTAAAAAGGAAATAATAACTATATACAAAGGTCCGTCAGAAGGTGTGCGTTTGAGAACAGACGGGTTAAACAGGACTCTTGTGAACCTGCGCAGGGTGAAACCACCTGTGAGGGATACTAGGCCCATTTGTTAGGAGCTATTATGCTAGGGCCCTAGTGGTCTGTACCATGTACAGACCGATAACACAATATGGGGGAAGAGATGGTACGGTCTTAAGACTTCCAGTCTAGCAAATAAGTTGCCCCCGAAGGCAGGTGTTAGCCTTAGCAAAAGTAAAACTGTTATAAAGTAAACAATAATAAATGGAACAATAAACATGGACACAGATAGCAGTAATCAAAAATAAAATTACGAAATGAAATTTATTGGTCTCACTTACAAGTGAAGAGAAATAACAGGCATATCTCCATATGACATGGAACTCCCACTTGTAAGTGAGACCAATAAATTTCATTTCGTAATTTTATTACATACTTCACCATATTTGTTCTTTTACTCTTTCATATATCCCACGGAGGATCGTCTTTCCATAAGATTGCTACCCCTGGGAGGGTGAGAAGCCTGATTTCAATTTTGTTTGTGAGTGCACTTATTTCCACTAATACATCACTCACTTGTTCAGTACTGTACTATACTATGTCAGTCTTTTATTTTCTATACAGATTTCGTATATGAACCACGACCTATATTTCAGGTTATCTGTACTTGTTCTTATATTATCACGTATTTGGGAGGTGTTTTCCACTTGGTTTTTTGATAATATGTGTATTAGCTGTCAGTGAGGTACACCTGGGAGCTCTCCCTAATATTTGATTCTCACATCTTGTATAGTGTGTATACTTTACTGCTTTGTTTTGTACAGATAGCAGTAATATCTTATCTGTCGGTGTCAGTCGGAAGAATTCTTTCCGTGATGATTTGTTGTTCAGTTACTTTCCCGCTGCTGCTGTGTGCCAATGTGGTGATTTTTGATGGTGAATGGTGGGGTTTCCTCTTTGCTGCTTGATTTCTTGGCATCTCTACTGGAATATTCCAATCCTTGAGCAGCCTTTCTCCTTCCTCCAGTGTGGTAATATGTCTTGTCGTTCCATTGTGGCTGATGATGATGTGTGCTGGGAACCCCATTTGTATTTCGGTGCTTGTGTGATTGGTGTGAGATGTTTCCTTTTCAGAAGCATTGAGGCCAACAGGTCTGTGAAGAGTTTCACTGCCGTGTATTTGCCTGACAGATCAGGGGAGCGTTGTGGGGCCTGCATAATATTTTTCCTTAGCGGTGAAGTGATGCAGCTCAGTGATTACATCCCTGGGCAGTGACTGTGGCAGGTTTTGTGGCCACGGTAGCCGGTGTATTCTGTCCAGGAGTAATTCTCTAGGAGAGAGCTCTGGGACTAGGGATTTGAAGAGCTCCATATTGTATGCAGCCAGATCTTGGAGCAGCATATCTTCCAGTATGCCCCTCAGGCGTATGTTGCTTCACCTATCTCGATCTTCATGGTCTGCTACTTTGTTTTCCAGCCTTTTTCCATTCTGGCTAGTATCTCTGTGTAGAAATCAGCCAGTTTGTTATGTGCTTCAATTATCTCCTCTGTTTTCTCCTCAAGCTGGTTGGTTCTTTCTGCAATAGCTTGGATGTCTGACCCCACATCTCTGGGTAATATGGCAAATTCTGCTTGCATGGAGGTCTGCAGATCCTGCAACATTTTTTTGTATTAAGAAGTCTGTCACTGGAGCTTGTGTGTTCATAGAGATGCACGTGCTATCACTGATGTCTGAGCTTGAGGCAGGTGATATTGGTTCGTCTGCGCCATCATGGGATCGCGGTGAGGATAGAGCTGAGATCTGCAGTGCGGATTTCTGCTTAGGTTTCTTTGTGGATTTCTGTCCCATGTTGTGCAGGGACAGTGTATGACCCTGTATCTTGCCAGTAGTGTGCTAAAAATCACTGGAAAAGTCACTGTTTAGTGATCCGTCATGAGGAGCAGACAGCTCACACGTCCATCTTGGTGAGCTGCTTAGCCACGCCCCGACTCTGTTGTTTTTGAATGCAGACTCCCAGCAGAAGAGATTTGCGAGCTCAGAGAAAATATCTGATTATTTTTAGCAAGAAAAAAAAGCAACAGTGAAACAGTTTTAATTGTTATTAGGCATTATGCCTATAGGAAGAATTTGTTTTTATAGACGATGTCTTTGGCTGGTGCAAAAAATAAATCAAATTACTGTTTTGTTAGGATTTCTGGAAAAAAATGTAAAAGACAAGATTGCAATGGCTGATCATTACTGCAAACAGAATTTCAGGATAATGAAGGATTAGAATTATTTGAGGATGCTGCAGGGTTGGTTTTGGCATATTCTGGAACAAAAAATGGGTCTTTGCGTGGTGGCCAAATGATTTTGTGGAGCAAGGATTAACCAAGAATTTAACCCCGCTAGAACTGTTATCGATTGTATCAGTAATTTTTGTCTGGGGTAAGGAGCTCCAGTATAAAAGGATTTTGTTTTACTGTAACACAGGGGAGGGCTGGCAGCCTTAGGCCTGGAGGGCAAAACCAGTCAAGTGGCCCATTGCACCACCAAATCAGTTCACCATCCATGCCCACCTTTTCCTGGTTTTATAACGGATATTGATGTTATGCTAATCAGTAGCTCTTTGCCATACCCGCTCCTTCACGGCTCCAGGCACTGCTTGTTGTGAGTGTGAGCCACTGTAAATTAGGGGCAGAGGGCACTTGCACTGCGGTAAAGATGGGGCTGGACAGGAGGAGAGTGCAGTGCAATCAGTGCACTCCCCTCCTGTGGGTCACCAGTAGACTGGTGCACCTGCCCAGGATCAGAGCCGGTGCAAGGATTTTTGCCGCCCTAGACAAAATAAAAATTTGCTGCCCCCCCATGTGACATCACAATGCCCCACCCATATGAACTAACGCCAGTGCTGCACACAGTGTGTGTTTACATTAAAAAGCCTGCAGGGACCAGCTATAGACACCAGAACCACTTCATTAAGCTATAGTGTCCCTTTAATGTGAGGTACATTATAGATTAGTGTCACTAATAATATACTAGATTGCCTACTTACAAGCAGATGAGGATGATGATGGGCTGCAGTTTGGCTCCACTGGTCTGGTGTAGAACAGGATCTCTGGAGGCTGTTTGCAACTGTGGTCACAAAATTCAATGTTCTGGGAGAATTGGAAGCAGCTCCATTTTTTGGGGCCCCTTACACAGCTCAAGGTCTGGGCCCCAGGGCCTGATGGTGAGTATGCCCATAAGGCCCACTCATAAATTCCACCCACCCATGAGTTCGCTCACAGGGAGTGGAGTGTGTAGGGGATGTGTTATGTGTTATTGTAGAG